CGTCCTCGGGTCTGGTGCCAAGAACCGAGGGTCAGCGCCCCCCGCGCCGCCTGCGGCCACCGCGCCAGCAAGTCCTGAGGGCCGGGGGCTCCCTAGGAGGAGGCGACCGCGCCCCAGGCAGGAGGACGCCACCCTCCGCCTCAGCCCCGCAAAGCCAGCGGGCCTTGGGGGAACCCAGGGCCTCGCCCGAGTGGCCCCTTTCTCGTGGGGCTGCATTAATCTGTCCAGTGTGACACGTGCAGTCCTCAGACCATCCTACTTCTCCGCGGCGGAGTCCCACAGACCCTCACATCTGAGTCTCTCCCGCGGCTTCTCCAGCCAGCCAAGCGGCAGACGCACATGTGCAGGCACGTGACATGCCGGCCCGGGAAGGACCGGCGCGGGCCGACCCCACGGGAGCGGCCGGGACCACCGAGGAGAAACTGAGACGCGCGCGAAGGTTTCAAGCCCTAGAACTGGAGGAGCGCGGATCTTACCTTGGCCTGTGGGCTGTGGGGGGGCAGGGTGGGGTCTAGGGAGGCAGGGGGTCGCAGGACAGGCTGGGGACTAGGGAGGCAGGGGGTCGCAGGACAGGCTGGGGACTAGGGAGGCAGGGGGTCGGAGGACAGGCTGGGGACTAGGGAGGCAGGGGGTCGCAGGACAGGCTGGGGACTAGGGAGGCAGGGGGTCGGAGGACAGGCTGGGGGCTGGTCTGCAGAAGGGGAAGCCGGCGACAATGCTGTCTGGCGGGGAGGCACAGGCGGAACGACCCTCCCGGGAGGACAGGACAAACTGCTAGATCAGACCAAGAGCTTCCTCCTCCGGGAGACTGTCAGTGAGTCAGGAGTCAGCCTCAGCGGCCAGGAGAGGCTGGGAGGCGCGGTGGCCTCAGGAGGGCGCAGTTCTCTTCTCCCGTTTGGGTCCGCCATCTTTAGACAGTGCTGGGCGGAAGCAAGCATGCCCGGGCGGGAGGTCTAGACATGGTGCTTCTCTCCGCCGGGAGTTTGTGCAGTGCCAGCTCCATGCCAGGGCGGCCGCAGGAAGGACCCAGGTGGGTTTCCTGAAGAGGCGGTCTGGGCCCAGGAAGCCTGTGAGGCCTCTGCTGGGGACACCGGAGGACCACGCCCAGCCGCCCCTTCTCACACTGAACCCAGAGGGACATTTCCAAGCACATGGCCACTGTTTGAATGTGCGGCATGAGGACAGAGGACTCAGCAATGGCGCCAAGGCTTCCAGTCAGGGTGCCCAGAGGAGGGAGGCGACAGGGGAGCAGGAGCCTGGGCTGGGGTCCTGCTGGAAGCACTGTCCCTTGGACTTCTTTCCCACGCTGCTCCACAAAGACAGGACAGAGGCAGGGGCCCAGGGCCAAGGCTAATGAATTGCAGAGGGTGCAGGGACCGCCTGCAAAATGCATAGCTGTCTCCAAAGCAAAAGCTGATTTTGTCCATTCATGCCTCCCTCCAACGTGCACACAAATAGTTGAAAAAATACTTTTCAAGCTCCTCGTGGCTACCGTTTCCTCAGTCCAACACCGGGAGCTTCTGAAGCACGGTGAGTGCGAGGTGAGTGCGAGCCGTCCGCCCTCACCTCCCCAGCGGCGCCAGCCTCCTGTGTGCCAGCACCTCTGACGCTGGGGTGCCCGTCGGGAAAAACCCAGACCCGCTGCTTGGCCCTCAGACGCCTCCAGGCGCGGCCGTACCTCCCCGCCCAGCGTCCTGCTCTCTGGCCGCGCTTTCCCTCTGCCCCCCGCACTCGGGCACCCCAACGTGGAAGGGACCCTGCACGTCCCACAGCCGAGCTTCGCTCTTCCCCAAGTCAGTATCAACTCAGAGAAGCCTCGCCACAGTTTAGGGTCCAATTCAAGTCAGTATCTTAGGTCGTTACCTGGTATTACCGAATTTCCTCAAATTCAACTTCTCTCCCCATGTGTTCCTAACAGGTGAACCGCATGCGATCGAAGCTCCCTGTGAGGGAGGAGTGAGGACAGGGTTGACGCCGCCTCAGGCCCTGACGTACCGTTCCGGAGCCTTCCACAGAGGAGCAGGAGCCGGGTGGAGGGCCCGGCCTACACCAGTTTCCTGCCCTTCACGCCTGAGCTCAATGTAAGCCCCTAAACGGTTAGGATTTATGATGTATCCAGTCGCTTTCAACATACATCCACCAAATATGCTGTCCAGGCGATGGGGACACAAACGACACACACCTGGCGAGGACTCATTCTGGGGTAAATGTGCGTGTGACCTGCCCCAGGCTGTGGCCACCGGAGAGCCTGCTGGCGAAGGTGGATGCTGGCTGCATTTATCTAGGCGAAGAAGGGACGAAGGCCATTGGGGCAGAGGTCAAAGCCCAGGGTGGAAGGAAAGCGTCACAGCCAGGAGGAGCAAAGGCCAGGCCAGAGCGCACAAGGACGGCCGAGCCATGAGGCTGGAGACCTTGCAGCCGGACGGGGGGCCTGGCTTTGGCCCTGAAGGAAACGGGAAGGGTGTTAGAGAGGGAAGGGACCTGGTCAGATGGAATTTTAGGAAGAGTGGAAGATGGTCGCGAGCCCCAGGGGGAGATCTCGGCTGAAGGTAGAGGGTTTTAATTGTTGGAGGCTAGACGGTGGTTCCGTAAGACAATTCGAGGGAGCGTGTGGAGGGAAAAGAAAGGGGCGCGGCAGGCGGGGCCCGCCAGCTTTCAGGAAGAGCTGGTAGGATGGTGGAGGCTGCGGGACACAGGGTGCCCTGAGGGGTGCACCCCTGCTCTCCTGGGACAGTTATGACGAATCAAGCACCTTCCACTCCCAAGTGTCTACGTCTGGACGATCAATTATGTGGTTGCTTAAAAAACATCAAGCCCAAAGCGAGGGACATTCCACGACGTCATTGGCCGCTTGAGGGAATGCGTGAGCTGTGCTGGATCCTGGAGCAGAACAGGGGCGTCCGTGGCTGCGCTGGTTCAGGCGTGTGGGTTCGATCACTGTTGAGTCTGTTCATTCCATGATGTGACGTTTGGGGAACCTGGGTGAAGGGTATACCGGGATCCTTGTCCTAATTTCACAACAGTTTTGTTAGTTTGAAATTATTTCAAAACAGAGTTAAAAATAAAAAGTAAAGGGAAAAATATTTAAGTTTTAAAAATCATTTATGGGACAATCAGGGATCGCACCTGACCGCACACTGGAAGCTGTTAAGGAAGCGTTAACTTTCAGGTACGGCAATGGTACCGTGGTTTCGATTAGCAGAGTCCTCGCCTCTGGAGACACCGTCGCTAGTCAACTGCTAATGCTGCTGAGGTCGCTGAGCGTCCTGGCACTGGGCGGCGCGCAGGTCGGCGTGAGCGCGAACGTGGGGCAAGCCCCATAGCTCCACGCAGGCGCTGTGATGATGTGGCACCGGGTGCACAGACCCCTGCCAGCCGCGGGAGGGGCCCGAGGACAAGCGGGCTTCACTAAGCTAGGAGGGGGGTGAGGGAGCTCCAAGCAGCAAGCAGACCACGTGGCCGGTGGGAAACTGGCAGTAGGTCTTTGTAGCTGGAGTGCTGTGTGTGTGTGAGCGTGAGCATGTGAGCGTGAGCATGTGAGCGTGAGCATGTGAGCGCATGCTGCGCGTGTGCGAGCGCGTGAGCGTGCGTGTGCCCTTGGTGCAGACCCGGCGGGACCCCCGCGGGCCGCCGCAGTCTAGATTTGACCTTCAGTTCTCGGGACCTGGTGAGGGTCCCACTTGGAAAGGGGCTTCCCCGAGCAGCACAGGGAACAAGGACGGGCACGTGGGTCCAGCCCAGCCTCGCTGGACTCAGTTTCCTCACTGGCACTGTGAGCTTGAGTTGAGGGCATGGCCGAGCCCTCTCCGTTCCCATCAGCTGGGACCTGTCCTCCTGGGGCCGCGGCGCGGAGTAACCGCGGGGCTCTCACCACCCCCTGGGTCGTTCGGCAACACGCGTCGCCCCGCTGGTTTTGCAGGTGGAACCCACAGGTGCTTGGATGTGGTGCGGGTCGGAGGCCCAACCGACTGAAAATATCCCCCTGCCCTCCAGCCGGCCAGACCGGCACCTCCGACGTAACCGCCGCCCCCTGGGCTAAGGCCTCCCACAGAGACCGCTGCCCGCCTCTGCCCGGCGCGGGTGGCCCTGAAGGCGTGAGCGGGGCAGGCTGCAAACCGCGAACGGTGGGGCTGAGACCAGGTTCCTCTCGCCACAGGAACGTGCTCCCAGCGCGGGTACAGCACCTCTGCCGCCCGGCGCCCAGGACGCCCTGGAGAACAGAAAGACCCGCCGCGCAGGCGAGGAGCCCGGGAGGGGCCCGCACCGTCGCTCCAGCCTCTTGCGCGCCGCGGGCGGCGACGTGGGGGGACATCAGCTAGGAAAGCTGCCACGGAAAGGAAACAGCAGAAACTCCAACTGGGAACCTTTTCTCTTACCAAACATGGAAATGCAACTGAGTAAGCACTCGGCACGGCCCCTTGCCTCCTGTGAGCAATAATTCTTTTGTCTTCACATTTTCTGCGTGCTGCTCTGTGGAAGCCTGGCACCGGGACATGCTTGAAACACATCAAGTTTTCCCCTCTGACAGATCTCAGAAGCGTCCCAGCCACGTGGGAAGCTTGGCTTGAGTGAGTGACAGGTGGCTTAATCCAAGAACAAAGGACAAGTCCTCTAGGGATGATTAGAGGTGATGGAAACCGAGCTCCTGGAGGAATGTAAGTGACAGCAGAGACAGAAAAAGAGCCCTGCCCCTGGGGCCCAGACGTGGTAGGAAACAATTCCAAGCTGTTCCGGAGCTCAGAAAACAATGAGCACATTCTGAGGGAGGCATCGGCCACCTGATGTGTTTTCTCTGATGCCCAAGTATAGCTGGGGCACTGCTGGCACGCACTCCCGGATGGGTCTCGCCCTCCCGCTCTGCAAAACCTGAAATTAATTTCAAAGCAGCAGAGGGTGGGTAGGATTGTTTTTCTCTTACCGCACTGGAAGACCCCAACCCCGTGAACGAAGTAGGGGCAAATGCCTTCCCCATTCCTCACTGGAAACCCACAGTACTGGCAAGTGTTAAGTGGAGACAAACCTGCCAGAAAAGCATGGCTTGCCAGACCTGAAGGTCAACGAGTTCAACCCAACAGATTTCCTTAAAAAGGCGGGATGGAGCCAATAAGAGTCCTGGGCCTAATGTTTTGGTCCAACTTAGTCACCAACTGGTGACCTTGGGCAAATCGCCCTCCCTGCCTGGTTCTTTGCACAGTGCAGGGGACGGGCAGGACAGCCAGGACACTTCCCCCAACTTCCTAAGGGCAGGACTGGTGATGTGACGTTTTAATCAGTGTTTTATGCTCAGAAAAGACACTGGCATCGAGCCTCTAAGGTCTTAGAAAATTACCCCAATTAATCTATAAAGTCAGCGCAATTCTAGCCAAATCCCAGAAAGATTTCTCTGAGAACTTGGCAAGCTGATCCTCAAATTCGTAGAGAGAAAAGGGCCAAGAATAGGCAAGACAATTTTGAAGAATGAGGAGGTGGACTCGCTCCAGCTGATCTTGAGACATTACACAACTATGGTAACACCAAGACTCCCGGCAGGGCACTGGGGACACTGAGGGACACGCAGCCTCCCTTCCCAAGAGCTGAGACGCTGCTGAAAATCACAAGAAGGAAGCATAAACAAGATTTCCAAAGCTTGGGTCTGGCCACCTGCGTCAGAACCATGCAGAGTTCTTGTCAAAAACGCAGGTTCTGAGACTTCACACCGCCACTGAGCAACAAGCTCCGAATGCTACTAACAAGCCGCCCGAGCCATCCGCTGTGCTCATTTAAATGGGGACTCACTGATTCAGATGCGTCAACAGAAACCGATCCCTGGCTGCACAGTCAACATTAGGCATCATCTCTAGAGGGCAGTGAGCCCTTGGTTGGTCTGTACTGACTGCAGCTGACAGCAATGGGGTGATTGCATTTTCCCCAAGAACACGTGAACAGCATCATCTCTAAAGGGCGGTGAGCCCTTGGTTAGTCTGTACTGACCGCAGCTGATGGCAATGGGGTGACTGTATTTTCCCAAGTACACGTGAATGTCATGACCATACTAGCCCAGGACTTTGCTAGCTCCTATATCTGATTAGTGCAGAAAGCCAATAATAACCCAATAAGCAATTAACATTGCTAATAGAATAGCTTCCTTGGAGGCACACAAGTGAGCTTTTAAAAAAGTGATCGCTGTTTCCCCATCCCCAGAGATTCTGAATGAATTGCTCTAGAGTGTGTGTGTGGGGGGGGTATTTTTTAAAACTTCCCCAGATAACTCTAATAGACAGCCTTGGTATAGGCCAGTTGGTCTCTACGTTTCAGAGAAGTAACGAGTCACTAAGACGGGTTTGTGTTAACCTTCCGATCTCTCATTTTCTCGTTGGAACAAGCTGTGCTGCTGGGAGGAGACCAGTTATAAGACTGCAGGGGAAAGGGCAGGGCCCGTGCACCATGCTCAGCAGCAAGGCCTGGGTAGAGAGGGCTCTGTTGGCCGACCAGGGAGTAACTGGAGACCACAAACAACTTCCCCTCTGCCAGAAAGCCCTGGCCAGCGGGCCCATCAGCTCCACCCTCCTTCCATTTGCTAAGGCCCCAGGGAGCCAAAGATCTTCAATATGTACTGCCAAGAAGCTTTGAAAAATGCTTTTCTGGCCCCTACAAGAAAACATCAGTCGTGCATGTCTCATGAGAGAGGACATGGAAAAATCAGCCTGGGACCGCAGTGAGGCCTGACCTGCTCTGATCCCCGCAGCTTCCCTGACCAAGGAGAAATAGGGGTCAGACCTGCTGCCATCGGGGGACTAAAGTTGACTTTGGTGTGATCCTGAACTTGGCATCAAGGTGAGTCCTGAAGCCGAGCCATGGGGAAAGGCTCCAGAACCATCCCGGCTCTCCTGCCAACTAAGCCGGCTCAGGGCTACTGGGAGCGAGGGCTCAGCCTGCCCCCTCCTCTCACTGGCGAGGAAACGGAGGCAGCGGCAGGGCGGGGGCTCACCCAGCGTCTTCCAGCTCTGCTGGGCCAGCCCCGGGGCCTGCA